ATAAATAATTAATTAAAAAAATAAGTAATACATAGGTAAATAAATAAGTAAGTAAAAAATAATAATTAGGTACCTATTTTAATGCTTTATTAAACCAAAATATAGAAAATATTTGTACTATAAATTTGCCAGACTCATGACGATAAATAACTGATTCGCATAATGCTAGTGTTGCCAAATATTAGTAGTGATGTAAACAAGTGTTGGCCATTCGATCCATTCCTGATTGAACAATTTTTCCTTTCTTTCTTTTTAGTTAGAATATGTTCTAACTAAAAAGGGAGAAAGAAAAGAGTTTATCCAAAAGTCATTTTACGGTCTTCCGTTGAGCACAGTTTCCTTTACTTGGAGATAGGCTGCTTCGGTGGGAGTATCCATAGAATCCACAAGCTCAATGCTGGTCTCAACAATTGGATGGCTGCTGTCTGAATCTAGATGTAATTATGCACACAATACCTTTCAAGGGAACTCTAGCTGTCTTCCAACTCAGTTGAGAAAACTCAAAAAATTGTCTGGCAAACTTTGTCCCTTTGCTTTTAAGGGGTCCAGTCCAATCCAGAGCAGGGTCAGGTCCGCCTCAGATGAAATCCCTGTGTGATACATCCTGCTATGCTGACTCCCCTACGGAAAAACTGATCTGCCCAAGCAAGACAAAATCTCTTCGTCTCTGCCAATTGTTAGGCCTACACGACAGTGTACGTAGTGCCTACACATTTTCAGAAGTTACTAAAATATATAAAAAATTGCTACTTCTGCTACTGTCCCAATTAAGCGATTAAATTGTGTATTAATTTATTAGTTTGGTTTCCGTTCGTTGAGATTTGGCCCAATAAAGCGACTGCCCCGATTAGCCAGTGTCCCAATTAAGTAGAATCCACTGTAATCATTATTTAATTTGTTAAAATAATATAAAGTCATTAAGGACCAGCTGCATAAGGATTAAATGCACTTTAATCTACAGAATTACTCTTAATGCATTGCATGAGAATGCAAATATTTTGAATAAAGCTAAGCTTTTGAAGCTAAGTTAACCAGCTTATTATGGGTGATTAAAATTTATCCTGTAGATTAGTGAAGTAACAAGATACTTGACCAACTCTGATTTTGATGTAGATAATCTTTATTTCGAACTATTTTAAACAAATTTTATAATGTATAGCAATTACAAATCTTAAAAATTAAAGAAATTTAAGAAAAAATTAATTTAAAAAATTTTTATTTAAGAAGCCACAGGTCTATGTTAATTGTCAGTTAAGTGAAACTTATTTTTTATATCATATTAATTAATAATTTCCAGTTTTAAAAGCCATATAAGAAAATATTGCCGATACTATCTACCAATTTTACTAATATATATTTTTGGCTAACTGGCAATAGCTATCTGCTAAGCCAAAGTAACTCATGCAATATGCATTATTCTTTAGATTAGTGACAAGATTAAATTTATTCCACAGATAGTTATTCTATGGTTTAAATAGTAACTCGTACAATGTCCATAAAGGATATTTATGCATAGTTTGACTTTCAGAACAAAATATTGCATACACTTAACTGTGTATAAATATTTTATATACAGTGGGTGATCGGTTAACAAACAGATCGGACAACGAACAAATCGGATAACGAACACTTTCGCGAAAGATTTTTATGTTCGGACAACGAACACATGATCGGATAATGAACATCCCACAGAACAAACAAGAAGAAGCGACGTAAAATAACGAATACCAACTGGACTTTCCTTGTCTTCAGGCAACAATTCGAAACTTTTCAGAGTGTGGGAGACGTCGACATCGACGCTCAAGCCGGTATATACTGATCGGATAGTATTCTTCCGAACTTTAAAACTCTCCCTTATAATTCCAGCCTATTATTTTTATGACAAAATAATTCTTTTATGTATTCGCGAGACTGTTGGGTAGGCACTTGTTAAGGTTTGCGTATGTTTTTTTTTGTAAGGTGAGAGTATAATAGCAAAGGTAAAGAGTGGGCAGAAGATACCTAATGTTGCTGGGCAGTATGGCGTGAACAGGTCTACAGTAGGTCGCAGTTCATTTTTTTAAGAAAAATACTGTATAATCAAGAAGACTCAAGCAGCTAAAGGAGTAACAAAAATCACATATGAGAAATAAAGAACATCGAAGAGTTCGTAATGGAACCTGAAACGTATCTGACAACAGAAGAACGCCAAGAACTCTTGAATGAAGAACAAGAAACTCGGCGAGATATGTTTTCTTCTGAAAATGCGAACTTATGCCGATATCTGCTATTAAATATCTTGTAAAGAAGTGGGATGATGTCAGAACAACAGTCTTAAAATGGCATCCAAACCAGGTTGAGGCTTGGGGATTTCTACAATTGTAATGCTATTAATTACTTACGAAAAATCCTGAAGAAGAGAGAAAAGCAACCGACATTAGACAGATTCTTTAACCCTTTCAAACTGAAACGCAAGACTGTGTACGTATGTATTTTTATTATTACATATGAATAAATGTAGTAAGAAAGTATATATTTTTTTATTTTGGGGAGTCTCCAGAACGAATTAATTAAATTCCCAATAAAACCTATGGTAAATCGATAATCGGTTAACGAACAATTCGGATAGCAAACAAAGTCTTGGAACGGATTATGTTCGTTAACCGATCACCCACTGTATATGATAGCATATTCTGAATTATCATAATAATATTAAAAATCAGAACTATACATTTTGATTTTCAATGTCACTATTTTAGAATTTTTAGCATTATAATAATTTGTGTAATGGGATGAAATGTTTAGTTTTAAAATTAAAAAGAAATGCAAAAATTGTCAATTTACAGCTATATTTGAGATAGAACATTACAAAGTCTCTTCTATGTGGCTTAAAGATATGAATTGGTTCTCAAAATTTAATCCATTAAATTTGAAGTTTGTCAATTTACACATGATGAAGAAATTAAAAATGTAATAAAAATCAGGAGTCCATGATTTTGTCTTTGAGATATAAGATTGTTAGCACAAATGTGTGCATTTTTTAAATTATTTTTATGCCAGCAGCAATGGCACTGCTGAAATAGTGGCAAGTGATTATCGTAAATGTCCCCAAAACAATATTACTAACTTGCTAGTGCTTTGACTCAATTCTTAGTTCATATTCAGATAGAAAATGAATTGTGCCTAGTTATGTATCAAATAAAAGTGTTTCATTTAAATACATAATCTGCAATTAATTACATATTTATGAAATAATATTTTTGGAATTTAAAATACACTCATGTTTCATCTAACTTTTTACAGTCAAGATCTAGAAACAAAGTAATCTAAAAAAAGTGTATAAATAAAACAAAAGTCAATAAACTAAAATAACTAAGAATATTTCATAAGATTAAAATATATTGTATACATTATACAAACTTTTTCAGTAAAGTAATTTAAATTTTTAATAAAACAACTTAATTCTGAAGTAAGATTAAAAATTAATTTTTAAATATCCTAACAACCATTTAAAACACAATTTAATAATTTTACTTAAAGTAAATAATTCAAAGTAAACTTTCAAAAATAATTTATCTAACCTCCAACACCTGGAAAATTGGAGATAAAATATTTTTTTCTACACTAACTTCGTAGTTTACTAATTCCTTTGCTAGAAGAACTTGAACATCTGCACAATCTCCTAATATGGCACTATTAAAGTGAATGACATTGTAAGACATTTCGTAACTTTAATAACAATTTATAAAATTATTTAAAACTAAGTCTTTTAAAAATATATATATATTTTAAGATAAAATTGTTCTGTACTCACCCAAGAATTGAATTTTCACTTAACTGATTACGACTTTCTTCCATAATTTGAGCCAAAATTTTATCTGGCATTTTTTTCTAAAAATAAAATAACAAATTATATTAATGTTTTCCTTCTATTATATACAGTCAACCCCTATAACACTGTTGATAATTCCGTGTTATATGAATTCCATGTTGTACGAGTCGCTTAGATTTTACAAATACATGTGCCAGGCTGTGAATGGCTTATGTATTTGTAAAATCTAAGTGACTCGTACAACATGGAATTCATATAACACGGAATTATCAAGAGTGTTATGGGGGTTGACTGTATACATAATCATTAATGCTATGCAAGTTAAATGAATATATAAATAAGAAACATCAATACATAAAGACAATCTTAAATTTACAAATTTACTTTTACAATGTGAATAAATAATCTAAGTTATAAAAACATTTAAATAAATTTCCCTTGATTTTCAGTAATATTTTTAAAAATCAGATCATTTTTACTATCAGAATTTCATCAAAAATTTAAACTTTTAATTATTATAAGTTATTGCCTAGTCAAATTAATTGTAATCAAAACTATAAGAAAATAAAGATATAGATGAAGTACAATAATTAATTATAAATTAATATATTTTTTTTATACATGGGCATAATTCTAATTTTAATTAAAACTTTTATGTAAATATCAAAGAAAAAGAAGAAAATGAAAAAAATATATATGGTATTTTAGATGATTTATTAATTTCCAATGATATTTTAATTTAACAATATTTATTATTATTATTTTTTTAATTTTAAAGCTTAAATGATATATTTTTTCTTGAATTAGTTTAAAACATATCATGTTTTAAGATTTAAAAGATTGTTCCATTTAGTCAGAAAGATTTTTATTACATTTTAAAACAAATGTTTAAATTAAACAAAGGCTTTTTCAAAATAGATAAAAGTGCTTGCTAAAGAAGATGAAAAATAAATAAAAGTAATGATGGTTCTTTCTATTTCAAGAAAATTAACTTTCTGAAATAATTCTATGTTATTATTTTATACAGTAAACAATAGTTTACAAAAACCATTTATTTAAGGATTAGGTCAAACTAATACACCTATACTTTGACCTGTTTAAAACAGATGTTTAAACTCAGTATTTAAATACCAGGTATATATTCTTCTCTATTGTACAGTACATATAAAACCTGTTTAATCTCAGTAGCAATAGACTGAACTTAAATTGATGCAAAGAGAAAGTTTAGAGAGGGCTTTAAAAAATAATAATAAATCAAACTCGTAAAGAAAATAAAATAAATATTGTAAATATTAGATTTCTTTTAATTAATTTTAGACAATTTTATATTATATTTGGATTTTTCAGCAGTTTAGTACATATAATTTTTGAAAAGAGATGAACCATTTTAATTTCAAAATTTCATATTAATGCTCAAATTAGTGAAGAATGATGGATATTCCTTTCTATTTACAAATTTTATCAGATCTGTTTTGTTAAGTTTTATCAAAAGTTAAAATAATTGATATTTATTTAATAACTTAAAGACAAATGTTTTAATAAGTATAAACATTCTAATGCAATTACTATTCATCAAATTAAGTGTTAATTGTTTTGATGCATTAATAATTATAAATAATAATATCCTCATCCTACACAAGTCTTGATAAGTATTAATTAAAATATATCTCATATATATGTGTGTGTAAAAAATGCATAAATTTTTGTTCTTAATGTTATACTAAAGTTATATATGATATAGGATGTCTACAATTTATTGTCCTAAATTAACATATTTAATAAAACACAAATCATAACAGAAAAGAAATGAGAGCAAATAGTTTTTGCAGCTAATATAACTCCAAATCATCATAAATCACTGATATCTAACAAATTTAGCAAACTTTGACATGGACTCATTCAGTAGAACATACAATATTCAATCTGATTGATTTCGTGGTCAAGTATTTCACAGCTTATTCCACAGCAACTAAAGCCACTGTCTACATTACTCAGTGCTTAACTCTGCAATACCTTTGCATATATTCTATTCTTCACAAATCCCTAAAAAATCCAAGAAGTGCAAGATCTGGGAGTGAGGGAGTCACAGAATAAAGCTATTGTAACTTAATTGTAACTAGGAAATTTTCTGTCCAAGAATTTGCAAATCTGTAATTTCCACATGGTAAAGTAAATAGTTTTTGAGTTGCTGTTCAATGTAAAAAAGTCAATATCTATTCCAGTTAAGTTTTTAGTATCATAATCCAGCCAATAAACTGCAGACATTACATATACAGTGGAACCTCGGTATACGACCTTAATCCGTTCCTGGTGTTTGGACTTATACCGAACCAACCTTTTCCATAAGAAGTAATGTAAAAATGATTAATCCGTTCTCATGTAAAAAAAATGGATGGCTTTAAACACCTCGCTTTCTTCGCTAGTTTCCGCTTGATTTTTCATGAGATCAGCATGTATCCTTTTAGCTTTCTCGCAAATAATTTCTTCCGATACGCTGTCGCCAGCACACTGTTTTTCAGTTATCCAAAGCAAAAGCAATTTCTCGACACAATCTAATGTCTTCAATCTCTGTTTAGAAATTGATTTAACCCCTTTCGCAACGTTAGCAAATTTAATAATGTCTTTATTTTTCACGAATGTCGATATCGTCGTTCTTGGAATACGGAATGCAACAGTTAAATCTCGAACACGCGTGCCACCTTCGTATTTCTCAACAATCTCTTTTTTCAGTTCCGTTGTGATTCTAGTCATTTTTTTATTTTTCTGTTGCCCTTTTTCAATTCATGATTAATAAAAATAATAAAATGTTACTTACAAATTAAAATCAGAAGAAATTTAACAAAGTTATAAACCGTAGCACCGCGAACGTCTAGTCTAGTGTAGTACAC